ATATATGTTGGTATGAACGGTAAAGTCACGAAGAATACTGTCTTCATGGCATTCTATGACTGGTTCAAGTTGATATTCATACCATTTCTTCAGCACGTGGCATGCTATAATATTGAAATATTGTCTGATGAAAACAATGCCCAATCTTATGTCAATTTTTGCATTGACTGGATTTCAGGATTGGACAACTAGAGATTAAGTAGTCAATAACTTTTATTATTATTATTATTATTATTATTATTATTATTATTGGTCAAAATTAACTTTGGGATATTAGACTTTCGTCACGTGATTTGTCCAAATGCTCGTTCACCCATTCTCGTTTCCGGCTATCGTGTCGTGCAGCGATGAGACATTTTGCCAAAATCTCTAGCGATGTGACAGAGCACAAAGGCGAGTGGGCTTATACCTTTATCGAAGAAATTGGTACGAATCAAACAGAAGCAGCTTCAGCTGAAATTCGAACTCTGCTTGCGTGTCCCTCGATGTGAATTGGTATACCGCGCAAATTCTTCAACAAACGCGTAGATCATAAAAATGGTCGCCATTTTAAGATTCCGCAATTGTTTGTTTGTTTGTTTTTGGGGTTTTTTCTAGCAAGTTCCGCATATTTTTTCTAGGGTGAATTTCAATCTAATGTATACTGAAGCCGCAATACCTACATCTTCTTCTCATTATTATTATTATTATTATTATTATTATTATTATCAAAGATTACTTGAAGTTAAAGATATTAATTCAATGATTTCTGCAGAGAGAGAAGATCGTACTAAACCATGAAACTGGTAGTTACCATGCACTGTTGATTCCTATGTACACACGCTTTCTTTCTCTCTGTCTCTACACACACACACACACACACACATATATATATATATATATATATATAGATAGATAGATAGATAGATAGATAAAGAAAAAATTTGAAAACCAAGTGATATTTTTGAAAAATAAAATACTTACATTTGCCTTGAAAGAGGACAAAACGTGTCGGTAAATAAAAGTTTTCATTTTGACTTCATTCATGGTGTCTTTTTAAATATATATTTGTATTTATATCTGAATTTTACAGACACACACACACACCACACACCACACCACACAAACAAACAGATATATATATATATATATATATATATATATATATATATATATATATATATATATATATATATATATATATATATATATATATATAATTGTAATGGGAGCATTTTTGACAGCGAATGTTTTTCTAGCATTCGTTCAAGTGTTTTCTGTACTGGACATAAATTTCTTGGTCCTGAGTGCTTTCTGTTAAACTGTTAGCCATTTTCAAGTATTTTTTATACAACTATTATAAATTTCTGTAAGTGCTATTGTAGACGGTATAAAATCTACTGAAAGCAGACATATTCTTAATTTCCAAATACGGGCAGTAAATTGTGGTCATGTTCCTAATTACTGTCAGTGACTTTGTTTTTTTTTTTTTGTTTTTTGAACTTCCATATGTATATATGTATGAATGAATTCTGTTTTTTCAATTTAGCTCGCTCGAAGAGTTTGATTAATTTCTTACGTCGTAAATGATTCAACGAGAATATTATGGAAGAATAATTATCTTCGGTTGTAAATTATTTCATATCTAATTTAAGAAGAATGTATTGGCAATTTTTAAAGATCAGTCATTGTAGGTACGACGTGAAAACCAAACACTCAGCATTTATTTTGATGGCCTCTAAATTTTATTGAATCTTCAGTTTAGTATCTTTACGTGATGCAAAGTGTATTTTAGCAAAGAAACAATCGTTGACTTGTTTTACACACAAACACCCCATATATATATATATATATATATATATATATATATATATATATATATATATAAAGCTCAAGCACTAATATTCGATGGTTTAAATTTGTTACATGGGAATCGTAATCACGATTCAATTCATCAGACCTACAAATTCAATTTTTGTATTTGCAGGTCTGATGAATTGATCGTGATTCTGATTCCAATGTAATAAATTATAACCATGGAATATTAGTGTTTGAGCCTTTTATATTATATTCTTACTCTGTCCTGGACATTGAATTCTACCTGGATTCTATCCTCTTGAAATTTATATATATATATATATATATATATATATATATATATATATATATATATATATATATATATGAATTGGAATCAATTATGGATCAAATACGGATTAGAATCCGTCAGAATGATAGCATAAAGAACAAAAAGTAGATGTTTATAAAATTAACATTAAGAAAATTCTGGGATAAAAAAAAAAGTCATAGGGAGTTAATTCAGGACTCCTGGCTGGCCGTTCACACATAAAATATGGAGTTACTTTTCAATCACACTGTATATAAATTTATTGGTTCCGAGGGATTTCAGCTGAACTAACAATATATTTTCCAGGATTATTTTTTATTATACTACAATATAATAAATAGTGTGTGTGTGTGTGCAACGCATACGTATTGCTCCACATATATTAAAATAAACGCTTCGGGTTTCTGAAGGCTGATTTAAAAATACGAGCTGACAGCAACGGCTCGAAACATGTTGTTTATATGTTGTTTTTATATATATATTAAACTGCTGTGAGTTCAAAGTTCTTTGACCTAAGTATTTAGTGGCACTTAACGAAAACGAATGAGTTCATGTTAATCATTTTTACTTTCATAGACTTATGGGAGGCTGTTTAGCCTTTCTACTGTAGTTAATTGTTTGTTTGTTAGTTTGTTTAAAGAAAAGTAGACTTATCGAACATTAATTAGTCTCGTAAATATCGATTGACCACTCACAAGTAATTTCAATGTCCTTTTGGCATTCATCTATCCTAATGCAAAAATAATCTAATTTTTCCTGCATTCACACACACAGATATATATATATATATATATATATATATATATATATATATATATATATATATATATATATATATATAGTAAAAGTAGCCGTTTCCTCGCAGGAAACATTCGGTATTCATAAGAAGCTTAGATTTATTGTCGGTTGAAATTAAATTAAATGTTTTTCTGGAAGTTAGAAATATCATGTTTACTAACTGTTATAGCTCTTTCTAATTACTATGAGAGTTTTTTTCCAGACAAAAATTAAAATAATAAATATTTAAATATATACTTTTATAAATCTTAAATTCCCAATGTCTCTCGTTCGTGCACATGTGTAGTCACATTAACGTAAACAAACCTAGTCCGTTGAAGTTATAAAGGAAGAAACGCATCAAACGAACACTTTTCCCCACTTTGTCGTATTTTTCCTCCAAAACTTTTCTTGATATATAAAAATTTACATATCGTTTTCCCATATATATATATATATATATATATATATATATTAGACTCTCTCCTGTCAGTTATTAGCTTAGTTCTTAGAACCAACTGCCAGACTACATATCATTTGATTATAATAATGGCGGCTTTTCAGAACTAACCCTTCAGAAGAGTCGAATAAGAGAACTCGTGCACAAGGTCCCCAAACGACCCTCCACAATCTTTGAATTCTGAGTTGTCATCCTCCTAGACCGTTCGCTATAGGACCCAGTCTTCTATTTATCCATAGCTGGTGGGAGATTCCCCTATCCGAGCCGCTATCCATTACTCCATAAATTAAAATAAGATTTTTTTAAAATAAGATTTATCGAATATCGAGGTCAGTAGAGGGAATTAAATAAATATATTACTTAATAAATAAATGGAGCATCTACTCAGATATGAGTATCTACTAAAAATAACGTTTAAGGAATGAAATATATATGTGTTTGCATGTATGAGTGTGTGTGCACGCACGCGTTCGCGTGTATTTGTCTGCCGGAAATAATGTAAAACAAAACATTTCTACCCGAAATACTTTCTTTCTCTTTAAGAACTTGGATAAGCAAGAAACTTGTACAATTCCAAGAAACTTTTATTCTGTTCCAAAAGTACATGGAAATTCTTTACTCACTTTTCTTCCTTTTTTCACTTTTTACATGCCAAAATTAATTTCTGACTTTTTCCTCAATTCTCCAAGCAAAAACACAAAGTCTCAATAAAATACATCTCCTTTACATGACAAAATCTTTTCCGATTGACTGTGGTTTTTTTGTTTTGTTTTTTTACTATCGTCTGCTTCTTACAATTCTTATACCGCTCAAAATGTCTAACATCGCAACAGATCCTTTTTTTAAATACTATTCTATCAAATTAATCAGTTTAATCAGTCTCCTTTTCATCCGCTTTCCATTTTTAAAAATTAGTATTTATTATAAAAGATAGTAATTTATTTTTCTGTCAGATTACTACCGTTAAAAGTTCAATGAAGATAACATTTTGTTTATATAAAATTCAAGTTTTTCTTTTCATCATTTTGTTACGTGCAGGAAACAATTCTTTACATAATTACTGAAGTTGATGGGTTCGTACTTATACTTAGAGTACGAACCCATCAACTTCATATAAAATGAACACAACCGGAATTTAAACTCAGTTGTCAGACTATTTTTATATCAAAATCAAATTATTCCATGCCATAGTAGAACATCGGGTTACCATGTTGTGTTTTTTTAGATCTTTTTAAGTTAGTTTTGATTTCAGAATACCTGCAACGGGAAGTTGTCCCAGATCTGACCTATAGCGAACAATGGCTTTTTCTATGCGGAGTGAATATGAACTACCTCAGCATAAATTTGAACTCATTTTCTCATATGCAATTATTATTATTACTATTATTATTATTATTATTATTATCATCATCATCTTCATGAAGCTTACAAGAAATTTAAGAAAAAAACAAGGCTCAAGCTTTTTTTTTAACGTAACTCAATTGGTAAAAACTGAAATTTTTAACTCCCAATACAGTTATAGTTTAAACCTGAAATAAGGCTCAAATTTGAGGATTTGCTAAGGAAGACTAAATCCAGCCAAAATTACCTGACACTAAAAACAAAAAAAAAAGCAATGCATATTCTTTTTCATGTTGCTAAACCTAAGCAGAAAGCTTACGGCCATATTAGATTCAAAAACCGGTTCTCGTCAGAATACCGAAGTTAAGCAACATAGAGCCTGCTCATTACCTAGATGGGTAACAGCTTGGGAATACTAGGTGCTGTAAGCTTCGATGTGCGGGTGGTGTAATGGATGACGGTAGGGATGAGTAATCAGAGAAACGAGTTCAAATTTCAGCCGGGCGCGTTACGTTCACTTACGGCCAAATTACGTTCAAACACAGGTTGTCAAATCTGGTCAGTATCTTGATGGGTGGCTAACTGGGAATACCAGGTGCTGTAAGTTTGGATGTGCGGGTGGTGTAATGGATAATGGCTCGGAATTCTTAATCGGAGAGCCGAGTTTCAATTCCCGTCGGTTTTGTTATATTCGCTTGGGAAAGGTATGAATTTACCTCTTCCTCACCAACTCTTGGTTAATTAGAAGAACCAGAGGTAAAAATCATTATTATCTTTAAAAAGTTTTTTTTTTTTTCTGGCTTAAAATAACCTGCATATGATTGATAAGCTGTAGAAAACGGATCAATAATCAAAACAAACAAATGATTTCACTATAATCAAAATTAAGTGACTTTCAATTCGTTTCAGATCTATGGGACTTTATTATTCGCTGCAATTTTACTATTATTGTGTGAGAGACCAGCACATCAACAAATTGACGTTGAGCTACAATTAACATTTCTTCCCCGCGTTTACAATTATTTATTCCCCACCCCCAGGTATGGGTTAATTAGCAAGACTGGTATCATCAGATCATTATTATCTCCTTCCCCATTCAAAAAAAAAAAAAAAAAGTTACAGTCTAAAAATGTTTTCTGGCTTTAAATAACTTGCAAAGGATTGATAAGTCCTAGAAAGCGTATCAATTAATCAAGCCTTTGACGATTATTCATTAAAAAGAGTCCTGATCTCTCCAGTGTGACACATCCGCATTAGGGCCAGCAGAGTAGGGTAATAGCTATGAATGTGGAGAAGGCCTACGTCCAAACGAAGGACCTTCACAGGCCGGGAAAGAAAGAAGTCTATACAGCACGTGTTTTTGCACTGTAATTTTTGTTTGTTTGTTTCATTTTATTTTTGTTTGCTTTATTTTATTTTATTTTTTTTTCGTTTTATTTACTTTTGTTGTTTGTTTCGTTTTATTTTTATTTTGTTTTTTTTTTTTTTTTCTTTCATTTTATTCAAATTTTTGTTTGTTTCATTTTATCTTATTTTTTTTTGGTTTCGTTTTCTGTATTTGTTTGTCGATTTGTTTATTTACGGGGTGTTTCAATTTTCTTTTCTTTTTCTTTCTTGCAGACTTGGCAAGAAGTAGAAAATTTACTCTACCAAGACAACACGCCTTACGAGACTAGCATGCTGCATATCATGTCTCAAACCGACCAGCTTAATCTTCAGCCAGTTCGTACTGGACACCCGCCTCAACAACCGACCCCAACCGCGGCCACAAGCAACAATAATATAAACGCCAACAACAATAACAACAACACTGTCTGCATACCGCTCACTAACGCTTCCCTTAACAGCCATCATATTCAAACTGCCCAGAATCTGTCCAGTGGAAGCATAGTTAACCCTACCAGTGCCGTTAACATAAACAACCCTAGCGGTCTTTCTCATCAGACCATCATCAAACAGACATCAGCAACTGGTCAAGTTTCCTATATGCTGGCTTCCCAACGTACCACTGAACAGATGCTAGAAAACTATGAGCATCTTTTGGATCTAGATTTCATTCTTAACAACACAGCCGATAACCAGAGCCTCTACCCTGAAGAGTCAAACATGAAAATAAAGCAGGAGCCCCTGCCCGACTTCCATTCGGCTTTTCTCGATATACCGGACATCAAGTTTGACAATGACACCCAGAGTGACAACACTTCAAGTCACAACCAACATAATGCGCATGCAACAGTCAGCAACCTGGTATCGGTCAAGTCGGAATTTAAAACCCCGCCAATGAACATCATCCCCAAACAAGAATATCCAAGCATGCCATCGTCCTGCTCCACCTACACTGTTGTATCGCCTGGCGCTGGACATCAGTCCAATCAGTTGCATTTCTCGATTCCCGGTCATATGTCTCCACCGGCTTCTCCTGAAATGCAGGAGGAACGCAAATCCATGGCGTTCAACCAGCTGGGCATGATGCATCCACACCATCAACACCAGCAGCAACTATTGGTGCCGCACCATATTCGCCCGAAGCTGGCCAATTCCCAAAACTCCATGATGCCTATGTCCCACCAAATGATCACTCCACCATCTTCTCCCCAACTCGTTGATTTACTTCTGCCGCAGCAGGGCGTCGACGGCGGACCGAACGCACCCAAGAAGCGCGGTCGGCGATCGTGGGGCCGCAAACGTCAAACCAACCACACGTGCACCCACCCGGGCTGCAGCAAGACCTATACGAAAAGCTCACACTTGAAGGCTCATCTGAGGACCCACACAGGAGAGAAACCCTATCACTGCAATTGGAAAGGTTGCGGATGGAAGTTCGCCCGCTCTGACGAACTGACCCGTCATTACAGAAAGCATACTGGCGACAGACCGTTCCAGTGCCACCTGTGTGAAAGAGCGTTCTCCAGAAGTGACCACCTGTCACTTCATATGAAACGCCACATATGAACTTCAATACCGGTGTCATCAACAAATCGTTGACACTGGGGAAGCTGATGTTTGAAGGTGAAAGTTCAAATAACAAAAAATAAGACAGGGTAAAATGTGACAACGTACGAGTGACAACCGGACGGCCAGCGCCCAAAAGCTAAAATCAACGGCGCTTCTCACTCCTACTCATCCTCTTCCTACTCCCCGCACAACGACATTTATGTTCGATTGAAAACTAGGACAATACGACGTTATTATTATTATTGTTTTTTTTTCTTCCTTTACGGAGGGGAAAAAATAAGAAATTTATTCTATTAAAAGTTAAGCTTTACACCAAAAAAATCTCATTTGAAAGACGAACTCTCGAACTAGATGACCGTCTTTTTCGTTTTTTGGTGTTTTTTTTTTTTTTTTTTTTTTTAGTTTTATTTATTAATTATTTCTTCCGTATTCTTCGAAAGGAACTTTTGCTTTTAGGTGATAAACCTAAGAAAAAGAAAAAAAATGAACTATCAACTTTTATTTCCGTATAATGTTTCCTTACAAAACAAAATTATTATTTCGAGTAAAGTCCTCCGTATTTATAATCAACTCTCATTCTGCCTTTTGCCAGCTGAAGTTAAAGAAAGAAGGACATTTCCCTTTTCTCATATATATATATATATATATATATATATATATATATATATATATATATATATATATATATGCATGTTTTTTTTGTGCGGCTGGCCGCAAGTCTATATTTTGTATATTGTTTGTATCGGAAGGGGTTTTATTCAAATGTTCCTGCTTCTAATTTTTCTTTTATTACTTTCTTTTTCTTTAAATGTTTCTGTTAGGTAAAAAAAGAAAAAATGGTTAAACATTTAAAGCGTATTTGTAAAAAAAAATGTTTGTAAAAAAAAAAAAAAATATGTAAAGAGAAATCTTTTACTGCACCAAACTATAAAAGGGGGAGAGCTAAGTGTCACTTTCAATGGAAGAGAAAGAGTCTTCAGCATAGAAGGGAGTCAGAGTTTTTGCCGTTTGGTTCCCAAAATCCCAAGGCCCCAAAATCCCGACCCCGATATTAAAATCTGTTTTCCCGCTAAAACCTTTTGTATTGGCGGGAAATGCAAATTCCTTTAAAGCGTTAATCTTGTGCACTTTTTTTTTTTAATCTAAATCTGATGTGCAATTACATTTTTTTTTTTTTTCACTTGAGCCGCGTGCACAGTTTTATGTTAAATTGGGAAGATGTAACTTGTGATCCGCCTGGCTTAGTTTGTCTTTATTTGACGAGAGATGAAACAAGAGAGAGAACAAAATAGAGTAAAACAACAGATAATGGGAAGAAGTTATAAACACGGGGTTTTTCTCTTTCTCTCTCTCTTTCTTTCTCTCTCTCAGTCTCTTATCCATCGCTAGAGTGGGATACACAACTATCACCCGTTTCCAAACACTTGATACTCAAAAAAAAAAATAAAAAATAAAAAAATACCCACACCTATCCCAAGATACCCGTATACCCAGCAGCTTGTGGTAGACGCTCCAGGGCACTCTATATGAAAAAATAATGAAAAGATGCATGAGTCTTGAGATGGTGAATTATTTATTTTTAATTTTTTTTTTTTACAGGGTCTTATAAAATTTTTATATAAAAAATTAATAGATGAAAATGAAGTTCAATTTTATATACCTATACACTCCATTTGAACACCCCTCGCCCAATATATGGAAGGTATACAGAAAAAATTACCCTTCCTTAAACTTACGATTTTTTTTTTTTTTAGCAAAGAGCCAAATTTTATTTATGTATATAAGAAAATGATCTTCCAGAAAGTTAATTTAATTTTTTCAAATTAAAAGAAAGAAAAAATTATCTATATAAAAATATATTCTAAAGCATTTTGAATAAAAAAACAAAAATCAACGGAACTTATAGAACAGGACTTATAGAAATGAATATACTTAAAAATATATTAATTTGTAATTAGAGAGATCAGGTCTAATTTTCTTGAACATTTTTAATTACTGAGAGAATTGCTAAAATCCTTTGATTTTTTTTCCTATTTGTTCAATACATACATACATACATACATACATATATATATATATATATATATATATATATATATATATATATATATATATATGTATACGTTTTCGTGCATGTAAAACAATGGTGCATTTTTCAACATCGCCTATCAACTTTAATTTGAGCTGTAATTTCCTTTAACATTTTAAAATCTTGAGAAGAATTGTGAAATCACTGATAATCTTTTTTCTCTTTTTTTGTTATACAGGATGATTGAAATGTAACTCCCTATTTTATGTATAATGGATTCTCCTGTCTAATTATAATTTTTACAAGACGGGAGAGTCCAACATACATAAAATAGGGGTTATTTTTTAATCACCCAATAAATATATATATATATATATATATATATATATATATATATATATATATTACACGAACGTTCTAAACACTCAGCAGCGTGCCCATAATAATAATAATAATAATAATTAGTATTTCTTTTCTGTTAACATTACTACAGCTTCCAGAAACTATATTTTGGCAAATCTCCAGTCGCTACCATGATTAGAAAGACTTGATCTCCATACGATACTATAAGTGCTTTTATCGATCCTCCCATATGCTAGTGAATACTGGACAGATGTAGAAGCCATATAAAACCATTGAAATGTGGTTCTTTAGGAGGATGCTGAGAATACCATGAACCGAACATGTGAGCAACGACAAAGTTTTAGAAAAATGGAAACACAAAAAAACACTTATACTGAACATCAGAAAGGGACAGTTGAAATTTCTAGGTTACATAACGAGGAAAGAGGGCTTAGAGAATTTGATACTCACAGAACATACTGAAGGCAAGCGGGACAGAGGAATGTAGTGCATAACAATGGTTGGCAGAACAGGGATTAGGAGAGATAGAGAAAAAACAAAATTTATTGAAGACAGGTAATTATACACAACCTGAATGGCCAAATTTTTGAAGGGAATAGCAAGAAGAAGAAGGAGTTTGTACAAAGGGGTGACAGAACAGGAATTAAGAGAGTTAGAGAAAAAACTAAATTCATTAAGTACTACTAATAGAAAATTGTGGAGGGCCATGATCATCCACAACTTGAAGGGACGTGGAAGAAGACCCTCAAACAGAATATTATACCAGGTCGAATTTAAAGTGGGATGGGCGCCCACGCATACATGAGCCGATTACGAACTTAGATATATTAGCCGGCCGCTCGTTTCCAAATACGCTTGTCTGCTCGGATTGCTTGCTAATCCCTGTTGCAGACGCCTTCTCAGGCACAGCCACGTAACCCACCTGTAGTTCATGCTGCAACTATGCAGTTCTGAGCAAGCAAATCATCACCCTGGCGTGGTTTTCAAACCGTTTCTAACGGTACTGCATGCTGGGGATCGTCTGTATAGGCCGATGCTATCCTTGAGAGAACGACCACTCGTCCAAGCGTCCATATACTTAGAATCATCATGAATAAATTATGAAATTCTCTTTGATTGAAATTATTCAATATTCAGTTTCAATCAAAAAGCTGCGATAACGAACAAAAAGTACATTATTTTTTTTATTTTTGTTACCTAAACACCATTTTATAATCAATATTATTCAATAATTTCTCTATCAGTTATTGAGATTAAAACAGTTCTGTTGTATATCTCTTTACTATTCAATAAGCTTGAGTTGTAATTCTAGTAATTTCTCTAGGCCAAGTTCTGACGAACATTCCATTATAAGGAAAGCAATTCAGACAATTAAACCCGGTAGACTCACACATCTATCTATATCAATATATATATATATATATATATATATATATATATTGCATGCATATTCACTTAATTCATCCCTAGTCCGAATTGTAAATTATTTAGGAAAACACGAATAAAATATTCGTAACATATTTGGCATACACAGAGATTCAGCTTTCAATAACTTAGTAAGAGGTTGATGGATAAATAATAGATTTATGAATTTAAAAAATGCCAATGGAAGATTATTGTTATTTTTTTTAATTATATAACCCGTATATCTTTAAGTTGTTTGCTTGTTTGGAACGTTTTCTGTTTTTTAATATTTTTGAGGAAAAAATTGACGCCATGTTAAAAGAGGTCGTCAGAGATATTCGTTAGAATTCCAATTGAAAAAAAAAAGGAATAAAACGAAAGAAAGGTTTACTTTTTTTTAAATTGTCTTCTCTCTCCTCCCACACTTTTTTTTCGCGGATCGATAATATTATATTTTGTTTTTTAAACGTATTTTTGTGTTCATTACTATTTTTTATTATTAAAATAGATTTTATTTCCATATTTTTTTTAACTTAAAACGAACGTTTCTATGAAAAGTGTTCAGTTTAATTTAACAATATTTTTTGTTTTATCAGCAACATTCTAAAAAAAAAAACAGAAAACAAAGAAATTGGCAATAAAAAAAATCCAACTTTAACAAAAGCAGCAAGAAAATTATCGTAATTAGATTGTATGAAACATATAATAAAAGCTCAAAATATTACTGGCAATAATTGAAAGGACTATTTTTCAAGACATGTTTAAATCGTTTCCCACGCCCACCCCCCAAAAAAAAAATTAACAATGTGCACTTGTGCGTTGCTATGACAACTAAAATATACGTTGCCATAACAATGGTACAAGAAATTTTGTACTGTTTGTTTTCTCAAACAACGTTTGTTTCATAAAACTCGCTATAAATTTCATCTTTGCTAAAATCTCATAAATTAAAATAAATAAAAAATATATATATATATATATATATATATATATATATATATATATATATATATATATTATGGTGTATCAAAAGTATATTCGTGTTTTAATCAATGAACAGATTCCCCTAACATCTCTTGTAGATTTTTGGAAATCGTTTCTTTCAATGATTTTAGTTTTTCTGAAATGTTTTACGTACTTGGTGGTTGAGTTCTTCTCGGCTTAGAGTTTTAGAATATCATAATCGACAACTAATGGTAGT